TATTCAAACCATGGTAGCTGGATTCTCCTAGAGCAAATGGGGGGCCCTCTCTGGAAGCCACACCACTTTTTTGATCTAGCCTCAGAAATCATGAACCAACACCTCCACTTTATTCTGTTCATCAGAACCAAATTGCCATGTCTAGCTTACTCTAAAAGGGAAAGAAATTAGGCTGTGCTTCTGGAAGAGAGGAGTAGATTGCTGCCCAGTGAACAAGAGAAAGGCACAGCATTTGGAGTTTCCATTCCACAGAGGGCAGAGTGGTAAGTAGCAGAGAAAGAGCCTTTCTGAGATTTGCTGTCCAGGCACTAAAATATAGCACTGCAAGGAAGCAAAGAATAAGGAGGGCAGTGGGTCCCCTGGATCCAGAAAGAATCTGAAGTGAGAATTGAAGGCCACAGGGAGAGCAAAAAGAGAAATATCAATGACAAAGAAGGGAGTGGCAGGTAACACCTTCTCCCTGAGTCAGGACTCACTTTATGGAAGGTGTGGCTCAGACCTGTGGGACACACAGTGACTGCTGTCAATCCCAGAGGCCTCCATGGAAAGATGCAGCAGTGCAAGAGGGGGTAGATGTGGTAGACTGTGCTGACTGGTAAGTGAAACAGATTTAGCCATCCTGAGGGAGAGAGCAACTAGCTGGGAGCTATCTTGGAGACGGTCTAACTGAGCTCAGAACTCAGAACAACTGTTGCCTCCATTTAGTGGCTCCCAGCTGAGCTCAGACCCACAGGAGATACACTAACTGCTGCAGGCTTTACAGGTCTGGTTCCAGCCTCACAGCCAGAAATCAACCTGAACTTCAGAGGAAATAAAGGTTCAGGCTCACTGAGATTATTTACTACCCCATAAAGCTATTGCTGGCCTGCTGGGATATATCAACATGGATCTAGATTCTGTCTCCACACATTGTCTCCCCTAAGGGTAAAACTGGCACACTGAGGGCTTATTTACTGCATACAATTCTCTGCTTTGTTTTACATTTTGTTATATAACCACAAATCTAGTTCATATGGTTAAAGGTGGCAAATTAATGGCTGCCTCAGTTTATCACTTCTAAGATGTGTTTGATGTTATTTTATTGCTAATTGTACCACTTCAGCCAAAGTGACATAATTGTTCTAACCAGCTGTTCTTCTGGTATACCAAGACTGAGATTGCCTAAGGCACATAGAAAATATACTGTAGGCCAATGCCAAAGAACCAGGGGCTGGGCTAATGTAGGCAGCACTTCTCATCCCAATAAATTGAAGAAGTGGGATCTTACAGTAGCCTCAAAACCCAAAAGCCGGGAAGATACCTCTGAGAAGTAGTCATTTCCTAAGGATTCTAAATTTTAGCAAAAAAGCTACTCACCATAGGCAGTTTACAAGCATCAATCCAGGAACAAAAAAAAAAAAAAAAAAAAAAAAAAAAAAAAACACAAACAAAAAACAACCCCAGACATCTAGTTCACCAAACGCAAACACAAAGGAAAATGAGGTGCAACAATGTGAAAGGCCCCTCTCTGAAGTGGTAACAATAAAGCAAGAGAACAAGGCTCTAGAAAAAAAATCAAATCAGAAATAATTTCTCAGATAACTACAGAGATGGTGACCACAATGAAAACCATGCTTAGTGAGTGTAGAGCAGATACAGATAAAAAATAGAGGAGCTTAGGAAAATGATGGAAATCATGACTGCCCAACATAGGAAAGAAATGGATTCCATAAAACAGATTCAAGCAAATATCCAGGAGACTAAAACTTCCATTGAAAATATCTGCAGCAGAATAAACTAATGTGAGGACAAAATCTCTAACATAGAAGACAGGCTTGTGATTAGTTATCATGGAAAGAAAGATTTCTTAAAAACATCAAGAGACCACAATAGTAGACACTGGCTATAACCAATTAATCTTGTTTGTTTTCCTGGCAAGGCAAATTATTACCGTATGTGAGAACATGTTTTCAAAGGTCTCCTGTAGCAGATTGTTGTAAAGATTAATTGAGATAATGAATATAATGCCTGACCCCTAAAAACACATTTGTTAAACTGTAGATATTTTTATTTCTTCACCAGGCCCTACTGACTCCATCTCACCTCCTACTCCACTTGTCTTTGATATCATCTGAACTATCAAAGCAGGACCTTTGTCCCCTGCCTTGTTTTTGGACTACTCCACATCTTTGCTTCTTCTGAGAAGTTTGTCTTTTTTAAAATCTTGATTGAAACTTATCTTTTATGAAAGATCCATTCATTCATCGACCCAACCAACATGAGTTCCTGACACTCCTAAGGCTGTGAAATTCTTAACCACTTTGACTGAAAATAGAGGGTTGATTCAGGAAAAAAATAAAAAAGAGAAGGAAAAACAAACCACATTTCTCATCACAGTAGGAAAAATTTTACTGGCATGGTTTCATGGTTTCATGGTTTTACTGGCATGGTTTCATAGCAATCAGTGTTAAAAAATAGCTTCCCTGTCAACTTTAAACAGGTCCTTTTCCTGGTTTGATGAAACAGTGAGTTACTCCATCTTTGACAATGTTTTCATGGGTCATTGAGTTTGTAATTCATATTCTTATTCTGAGTTTAGCAATGACATTGAGTTGAGCATTCTAGCAATTAAACTAATGATGCTTTATACAAAGTTCCCATTTAAGTAAGTTTTTAAAGTCTAGTTGGAACTCCTGAATGATTACTTTTTTTCAGGGTAATACAGCATTCCAGTGTGCATGCACTGAGATTATGTATGTAAGTGCTGAGTGCCAAGATGCATTACTGATGTATTTCTTCATGTATAATACAGGCACAGAATGCTTCAGCGAACAAGTTAAAACAATGATGGGCCTTCAAGGAACAATCACTCCTTTGGCTCAAATCCCTTCTTCTTGGCCAGTTTATTAATAGATCTACCCAGGAATTAATGATTAATAGCTGTTAACTCAGGTTCTCCCCTAGACATATTCTTAAGTAATTTGTAGGATCTTTCCCTCTAATTACACCATGCTGTTTCAACTTTTACCAGCTCTTGAAATTATAGCCACCCACTTTAAAAATGCATGTCATCAATAATTGCAAAGTCTTCCACTCCAAACAGAGGTCATTGGCCCTGTGCTTAAGAACACAGTGTCTGAGGCAAGTGTGCCTAAGTGTCAACTCACTACTGTGTTAGCTATTTCCTAGCCATCATACCAGGGGCAATTTAACTTCTTTGTCCCTAGATTTCCTCATTTGTAAAAAATAGGGGTAATAATCACCATAATTTGCTTTAAAAATTAAATAGTTAATATGTATGAAACACTTAGAACAGTTCTGGCCCATAGTGACACTCTGTAAACGTTGCTAGTCCCACTATCAGAAGGAAATGTATCATGATTACTGTAGAGTCTGGTGAATACATTAGGTAAGTTTTTACTAAGTAGAAATTTATAAATGGACATTTTAGTAGGTATGTCCACATTAGCATTGGCAAACTAAGCTATGGAAATAGCATTAGTTCAGAGAGAAGTTTTAAGTGTTGTCACAAAGAAGGTGCTACTCTGATTTTAAATTACATAACAGGGAAATAAGATTTCCCTGCTGTGATGTGACATGAGTTTACAGAGCGTCAGAAAATAGCTCAAGATGATTCGGAGCAATACTTCAATTGTCCCTGCTTTGTATGGACTCCATTGTCAAGGCACCTCATAGCTGTTCAGCTTTTTGATCCACTTATGTATTATCATTACTTTCTACTTCTGTGCCCTTGCCTGGTTGGCCTAGTGACCTGTGACTACAACACTAGGATTACTCTTTCACTCCCATACTACTCACCATTGTTTGCAGATAATGTAAGAAAAGATTGGTTGGGACAATTTTCGTTAAAAATATAATTTAAAATTATAATTGTCTATATGATAGGTCTGAAAAAATTAATGAACTTCTCTTTGGCCTTTTCCATATATTCTACTCCTTATCTTTCAGGAGTGCAGATATCCAGCATTGGCTAATTCCATTTTTCTGCCCATTAAGAAGATGTGCACTCACTCTTTCCCCAAAGATGCAATCACCTGGAAGCAATACCTAGATATTGCATTGCAGATGCAATATCCGTACAGGCCTGTATCAGCATTCAAGGTTAGAATTCAGCAAGCTGTATGGTTAACAGACACCTAGGTGTCTCTTACTCACTTGTTCTATGGATCCGCTTGGGGGTTCTTAAAATTATAAAACCAAATCAACTAGTAAAACTATATTAACAGTCACCTTTGAAAACAAATATAAGAAATAATCCTTTAATCTTCAACTATTTCCCTGATTACTCAAAAAAAAATGTACTTACCTTTGCTCTATTCACAGCCACAAGTTCACTTTTGTGACTTCTCTACCAATTCAATGCTCTTGTAGTCAACCACATTTCCTGTCAGCTATTAGGATGGTGTGAACCTTTATAACATTATTATCGTTCCCATTTCACCAGTACAGATACAAAAACTGAAGCCCATGGACTAAGATACTTCTGTCATTTGGACATGCAGATGTATCTCAGGTGTTAACCCACAAACCCTCCAGGCATGTAGCCAAAGCTCTTTTATTAAGGTTGACTTTGTCAAACAAGATATTTTATATATATATATTCCTTCTGCTTGGTGCCCATGTGTCATGAGAATGCCATTTAGTAGTCACACCTTGCATCCAAATCAGGTAGAATCCAAGAGAAGTTCAGATTTGGCACATTTCAGTGGCAATTTTAGGAATAACCTAAAATACCCCTACAAAAGAACCCATTAGAACCTTTTTGTGGAGTATCTTACTTAACTTTAGAGTAGAAAATAAAAGTGTCATTTGCCCGTGTGTATCAAGGAATCTCTGCAAAATAGATTCTTCAGAGTTGAAGTCCAGGGCTAAGAACTGACTTTACAAAAATCAGTATATCTATCAATACAATTTGAAACATAGCTGTTAGGAATGGCAATTTTGACTAATATCATTAGAGGATAATGGTGAGACATGTAGACTTTCATACTTGGCTTTAATGACTTTGAAACAAACACAGGCAATCTAATTGGCACTTGGGCAAAGGAGGTTTTAATTTTATTTACTTCGAATCATAGCTAATGATCTAGACAAATTTAAATGAACCCAAAAAGATTCATGAACCCTACATGTATCTGGAGGAATCCTCTACTTTTCACTTTTAAGTGGGCCAATTCCTCTGCAAATATTACCTGTGACTTAAGCTCCCAGGAGGCAAGAGGCAGCCAGAGAGGAGGCACAGAAGACTCGTGGGTGAGCCTCGGCTGAGACCCAGTTACCAAGCTCTCCTGTAAAGAGGAGTGGGCCTCCTTTTCAGATGGAGGCTGTTTTAAACTGCTGAAATACCTGGTATCTGAATACAGGACAAAAGGCCCCTCCCCCTTTCTTTAAGGTAAAGGCCTTCTCAACTTCAAAGCCAAGCTTCCTGGAGCCGATTCTCCAAGGGCATTAAATCCAAGGGCAAGAACTGATTTCAGCAAGCAAGTAAAATGATGGTGGTATGTTTGGCTGGGTTGGACCTACCGCTGGGCAGATTTTGTTCTTTAGAAGAGCCCATCCCAAAGACCATTTCTGGAAATTCCTTTAAGTTTTTATGGTAAAAACGGAGCAGCACCTTTCTCTAATACCTTCTCAGTATGGCTTTGAAGGCAGGATAAGACAGCCTTTCTGTCACAGTACCCTTAGAGCCCTGTTCAGAGTCCAAACTGTAATTCTATAAATAATTTCTGACCCAAGAAATTCAACTATCCACAAGCCCCTACTCCTTTATCTTACTCTTTTTCAACTGCATATGATCTTGGAGTTACAGAAGGCGGGTGAAATCATATACCTGGGTACAACCCTTGCGCTTATTTCCATAACAACAGATCAAATTCGTAAAGCAGACGGGCATGCAAAAGCTGCTGGGAGGAGAGGCTAATTGGTGAGGCTGGCTGGCAACAACATGTGATTCCACCCACTGAGGTCCAGGGTGTCCTCCCCTAGGAGTCAGCCGACCAGGCCCTCACTCGTCAGAGCACGAAGGGATGAGCTCCTTGCAGGTGTCGTGCTTGGCGCGGTGTCTCTGGAGGTGATCGGACCGGGTGAAGGCCTGCCCGCAGTCCTCACACTGGTAAGGTCTCTCCCCGTTGTGCATCCGGATGTGCTGGGTCAGCTCCGAGGCAACACGGAATGCCCTGCCACACTCGGCGCAGGGGAAGCCCTTTTCCCCGGAGTGGATCTGGCGGTGCCGCTTCAGGGTGGAGGAGCGGGCAAAGGTCTGGCCACACTGCGGACAAGGAAAGGGCCTCTCGCCAGTGTGGATGCGCTGGTGACGCACGAGGCGGGAGGGCTGCGCGAAGGCCACTCCGCAGTCGGCGCACTTAAAGGGCCTCTGGCCAGTGTGCAGCGTCTGGTGCTCGTACAGGTTGGAGGATTTGGTGAAGCACTTGCCGCAGGTGGGGCAGGGGTAGGGCCGCTCGCCCGAGTGCACTCGCTGGTGCTCCACCATGCGGCTAGCCACGGCGAACTCTCGGTCGCAGGCCGGGCAGCGGAAGGGCTTTGCACCTAGATGTGTGCGCTGGTGGCGCAGCAGCGACAGTGGCTTGTTGAAGGTCAGGCCGCACTCAGTGCACGGGAAGGGCTTGTCGTTGCTATGCATGTTGCGCTGGTGTTTGCGCAGGTCGGAGGAGCGCACGAAGGCCTTGCCGCAGTCCGCGCACGGGTAGGGCTTCTCGCCGGTGTGGGTGCGGATGTGCTTCCGGTGATCGGAGGACCAGGTGTAGGCCTTGTCGCAGAAGGGGCACCGGTAGGGCCGCTCGCCTGTGTGCAGGCGCCGGTGCTGCTGCAGCGTGCCGCGGTGGGAGTAGGCCTTTCCGCACAGCTCGCAAGCGTAGGGCTTGCAGCCTCCGTGCTCCGAGAGGCCCGGCAGCTCGCCCGGATTCTGGCAGGCCCGCCCGCCCCGCAGGCTCCTGTACGCGCGCGCCTCTGCCTGGGTCTGCTCACCCTCCTCGGCACCTGCCAGGCGCTGCCCTCTTTCGCTGTTCCTCGCTTTTGCCAACACGGCTGCCAGGCTAGCTGGGGTGGCGAAACCCTGAGCCGGTGTACGTGTCTCCCACGTGGGGAGGTCCCAAATGCTGCCCGACTTGGGGATGCACTCCAGGCAGGAGCTGTCTGGGGATGTCGCTGCATCTTTCTGCGCACAGAGATACTCTCCAGGGCCCAGGAAGTCGGATGGGCCATCCAAGGCTGTGTCCTGGTTTGCCTTCCGGTCTCCATGATCACCTGCAGGTAGTGAGTTCCTAGGAGGTTGTGTACAATCTAACAACTTGTGAGAGAGGCTGCCTGGAAGGGCACAGAGAGCCATGCTTGTTTCCAGGGAGTCCCGAGTCTGGGTGGCCTTCCAGTCCTCCCTTTTCCTACTGGGCTTCTTCCCAGATGTCCCCGTAGGTTTCTGCCCCAGGTCCTCGGCACTGAGGGAATTGGAGAATTTCTCTTCCTTCTTGCAGGATGGAGGCTGCCACCGCAAGTCAGGATTGGTAGGCGTTCCTGGTAAGTAGCATTGCTCCCTGGTGTCTGCTCTATCCCCTGCTTCCCCACCGTCCTCCTCTTCTCTGTCCAAATCCCTGCTGAGCACGTGGGTATCCTGAGTCAAATTGTTCAGAGACACCTTGCCCCGCCTGTCCTGGGAGTCCACTTGTGCCATGACCTGCAGGCTCTTCGTTGCCTGCCTCCCTTGAGGAAGAACCCTGGCCGTAGCTCAGGGTACCTGCAAAAGGGGAGGTGTAAAGAGGAAATCAAAAAATGCACTTAAGTGTAAGTGTCAGAGAAACCAGTTCTCACTACAGCCTTGTTTGCAAAACTGGAATCCATGCCAGCTGTATTGTTGAGCCTCAGGGAGAAGGAGCTGGGCCCTGCTGAAAATTCCATAGTTGTCCTTCCTTTTGGATATCTAATTTGCTAGAAGCCTCAGAAGACCATGCTGTCTGGGAGGGCCAGAGATTTCGGACTTTTCTGGGAGCCAGCTGTGCCCTGACCTGTCTGGGGTTCTCACACCCCAAATGCTTGGCAGATGGGTCTTCTGTGAGCACGGGGGAGGCTAGGTGAGACAGCAGGTAGCAAGCTCTGCACCGCCTCAGGCACTCTCACAGTGTCCTCCACATAAGAAGCTGGAAACTGGGCTAACTCCTTCTGTCTCTGCTGAGAGTGCCATGACCATGTCAGCTGGACCTGCCTCCCAGCCTGTGCAGGCCACCTCATCCAAAGCAAGGAGTAACCCCCGGGAGGTGGGGGTTAGTGAGGGAGACACTCACTGGGTCCTCAAGAAGATCCCAGCTGCCTCTCACTGCCTGTGCAAGCTTCCCAGGTCTTTGCAGGGGAGAGCCTGGAACTTTCAGGGAGGATGTACTCAGGAACCCCAGAGAAGAGGATGCCCACTGAGAGCTTTGAAATAATGCTTCATTTTAAACATCCCCTAGAATTTGTATGCCATGCCATGTTTGTTTTAATAAAACATAGCATAAATTACCTTTGGTTGGAATATTTCATCTTCGCCCCAGGTGTGCCCTTCATGCCCCATGGCATCGTGTCCTCCTCGTGTACCCCCATGTGCCCACTGGGGGGTATCTTCCCTAGTTCAAGAAGCACGGACTTGAGGTTTTGTACCAAGTAAGGCACAAGACACAGGAGCCACCTGAGCTTTATTTTCAAGCTGATTTTATTTGGGCTTGAAGACACAAAGAGCTACTGAGGTTGGTTGATAAGGATTGTGTGAGTGACACATTTCACAGGAGTTGCCAGGCTGAGGGGCAGACTGCTGAGGGCCTCTCCAGGAAGAGTTGTCTCTGGTCTGGAGGGGACCATCTGAGAATCCAGATGGGGTCTCAGTAACAGTTCTAGCTTTCTAGGCACATACTGTAAGCCAGGCATTACAGTGGACCTGTCGCAAACATACTTGCATTTATTCCTTCCAGCAACCTTTATGATAGAAGCCATTATTATTATTATTATTATTATTTCCATTTTACAGGTCAGCGCACTAAGGTTTAAAGAGCTTACTTGCCTGCCCACGGGCACACCGCTCCCACAGCCCTGGGGCATCTCTCTAATTTCAAAGCTCCCTGAGCCCAGCCCTACCTACTGCCTTCCAGCTGTGGCCTCCAGACTGAGGCCTGCCCTGAGCTTGGGCCAAGAGCAGCCACAGCATCCTGAGGGGAAGAACCTGCTCTCTGCAGGCATCAAAGGCCCTTATGTTTTCTGGGCCAAGGAGCCCTGGCTGCAGGGCCTCACTGCTGGGCTCCTCCCTGCTGTCATTGACCCAGATTGCCCTTGGTGAGAGAGAGGCCAGGGCCGACTGTCAGAGCCAGGACATAGGCTACAGACACCGCTGCCCTGCCGGGATGGCCAGGAGTATGAGTCACTGGGTAGCAGTTCTCTTCTGCAAGTCCCCTCTCTCTGCCCCCAACACTTTCCACTGCTGTCTCAGCAGGGATAAGAAGCACCTCTTTGTACTTGTGTGTCCTGTTCATATCCCCGTCCCATCACACCGGTCCTCCCCTACTGGTTGGTTACTCAGTTACTGTGTGTGTGGAGGGAGGGACCGTGGGGAGGAGCCTTCACTTTCATCTCCGACTACAGCAGCTATAGATAGAGGGAAGACACGCTGCAGTCCTGACTGGGTCTAGCCCCTCATGTTCCTTTGTGTCTTGAAACCGAGGGACCCTTCCTTTTACCTTAATGTTCCATCCCTGCAACACGTCAGAGTGTGGCTAGCATTCCTTTCGGCAGGAAACCAGGCTTGACGTATTTTCAGCATAGTCAATCTTAGGGAGCAGATGTGTGTCTGTCTGTGTGTGGGATACACACAACTGACAAACTTCCTATGACTCACTCCACATGTCAGTACCCTCTCAGAGCAGCACACTTGATGGGGCTGTGGTCCCCTGTGGGGGCAGCAATGGGATGCTGGATTTGTCCTTCTGCTTCTGTGATGATGCTGCGTGTGGCTGTGGAACTGTTCTACAGAGGGCATACTTCGCCCTCTCCCCACTCCATGTCCAGCACTGGCACCCTTTTCAGCAGCCTGTGTCTTGTCCCCTGCCCCTGGGCCACAGGTGAGCCTCCTTAGGGCGGCATACACCTCCTGCTAGCTAACCCCTCCTCAGGAGTCCGCCAGGAGACTGCCTTTCAAATCAGGGCTCTGTCCTCTGACTGAAGCCAGACCCTCAGTGACACGTGTGTCCTGCCTTCTCCCTCTGTAGCTCCTTCAAAGGCTCTCTCTCAACCATCAGGAAGACCAGGAGGAGGGAAGGAGGCCAGGGTGGGATTTTCTTGCAATGTCTGTACAAATACACCTGGTCAGGAAGGGAAACACCAGTGCCCAGTGTGCCTGTCCCTCTGCTCTCCCGATGTGCTGATGCCCAGCACCACTGATGCACAGCCCTTCCTGGAACTTTGCCCACATCCACCAGCCAGCAGTGGACCCGTGCAGCCTCCTGCTCCCCCACTTCATATGTAGACATCCGTATTGTCCCGGCTCCTGGCCCCTGACACTCTCTTCGTTCCTTCCAGACTTGCTAAGCCCATCCCAGGGCCACTACCTCCCGCCCCTTCTTCTGTCCACTGCCTTCAGGCCTTGATCTTTACTTTTGACTTGGAAGTAAAGGGAACAAACAGTTGCTTACCTCGAAAATGCAGACAGCTGCGTGGGGCCCCCGCCCTGGCTTTTGTCACACGTGGCCTCTCTGTAATAGGAACCAGAGTGAGGTACAAATTAGCAGAGATGGTGGCTCTGTCTCTCACGCTTTTGTGTCCAGTCCAGCAGCTGCAGAGACCTTGGGAGGTGGGGCCAGTGTAATTCACTCAACCCTCCTGCCTGCATCTCAGACAGCAGCTGGGAAATAGAGTGGGGCGGCCCTCTCCCTGCCCGCTCCCACCTTCCTCCCGGCCACAGCCAGCTTTCCTCCCTCCTCCTCCCTCCCTCAGAGGTTGCCCGGTCCTCCTGCAGGTGGCTCTGTGCTTCCTGCTCACTTTCTCTCACTCCTCCCACAGAGCAAGCAGTCCATCCTTCACGCCCACCCTGTGTGCTGCTGGGCCACTTGTCACATGTCAGCTTCCCAGGGAGCATGCTTTCCCCACCTGGGGGTCAGAACAGGATATTTGGTTCATAATCTCACCTTCTTGTCCTGGAATCCACCTTCTGTAGTGCTGTGATTTGAGCAGGAGGTGGGTGGGTATCGTGACCCACAGATTATAAAGTGAGTCTAGGGGACATCCAGGGCTGTCCTTGTCTTGCCCTTTGAGCCATATTGTGATGAGTAAAGTAAAGGGAAATCACCCCACTTCTGGTCACAGTTGAAGCCCTAAGGCTAGTGATACTGTGATGCTCACAGGGCAAGGTAACACCTCCACAACCCCCACCCCCCAAACCCCCCACCCCCGTGCTGAGGGTGATAAGGATCTTTAAAGCAATGTAGTAGCCATAGTAAAAAGTTTCACCTGCAGAAACAAGTTTCCTTATTACCCCATCTCTCTTTGCAAGGATGCTTTGTTCTTCTTTCTAGCCCACAGCAGCTGTTCTGCTTCTGGAATCAGTCACTACCCCCACCCACCTCATGCACTGGCTAATAAAATAGTGGCTAACTGGAGAGTCTCCATCTTTGCCTATCCTGAGGCATTGACCTCCAAGCCCCATTTTACACATTACTAAATTGTCTGTCTTTTATTTCATCTTTTGCCATACCCCTCATACAGGCAGTTGGGGATCTTGGCCACAGGTCCCCCGTAGGGGGAAATCCCAAAATTCTTTGCAGCAGTTCAGTAATAAACCCATGGTTATTTGGCTGTGGTTGGGGGACAGGGAGATCACTTTCAATCCCTATTTATATAGATATTTGTATACCGTGGCCTATCTAGGACCACTGTCTGTCTCTCAGCACTATTTTCATGCAAGTTCATTCAGAAGAGTAAGGTTGACACATGGTAGAAGACTCAGCATTTTTATGGTTTATGCCCACTTAAACATAATGTATATTTCTTAGGGAGAGTACTTGGGATATTAAGATAGGAGACAGGAGTACGGTACCTGTCATGTCATTAGGTGACTGAAGATGTACTGATTGACAGCACAGTTCTGGGTCTGGGATTGATTCTTAACCACTTACCTGCTATGTAACCTTGAGCAAGTCACTTAACCTCTGTGTGCCTTAGCTCCTCCTCTACAAAGTGAAGATTGATGTAATACCACCATCTTGGAGGTCTTGGGAGAATTAAATAAGATACTGCATGTAAAGAACTTAGCACAGTGTCTAGAACACAGTGTCTTGAAAAGATAGCTGGCTTCATTGCTATTATTATGCTGTCTTTGGAGGGGAGGATAACATGGCTCCTTTTATATCCCCATGGACTTGTTAGGGCTGCAATTCTGATAGGAAGACTAAACCTCCCACATATTTTTTGAACAGCAGTTCTCAAAGTGTGATCCAGAGAAACAGATTTCCTCTGCCCCTTAGTATTTTGCAGGTGTGACCTCAGAGGGAAAAGGCATACAGCAGACATGCTGCTAGGTCTCAATTATGTTTGACTATAAGGAATAGGATTCAAATCCTGATGTTCACAAAGCCTCTGAAGTAAAGTGCAGAACACAATAGATGTGTGGATTTGTACTGTTTGTGATCTTTAGCATGCATGAGTCAAAAAAAAAGGTGAAGAACCACTGGCATTGGGGTAGGGTGTGAGATGAAGAGAGTAGGCACGTAATTACAATATCCTCCATAGCAATGTATGGGGCTGTCGCCAACCCATATCCTGACACTGCTTCAAAATGCTTTAAATGGGCAGTATCGTATAGTTTTGGGTTTTGTAGACCTTTATCAGAAATAAACCTAATTCCTTGCTAACTGGTGAAAGGGTTTATGGCAGTCAAAGCTAGACAGACAGAGGGGGGAAGTATTCCTCCATACTCCAGCCTCAGTAATGGTTTACATTTATCATGTACTAACTAGTGCCAACCTTATGTTAATACACCCCTGAAATGTTTCAATTATTCTTCACCCCATTTTTTAAATTTTTTTTTTGTTTTTTTTTCCAATATTTGGAATTGAACTCACAACCTCACGTTTGCCAAGCAGGCTCTGTGCTGCTGAGCTAAATCCCCAGCCCCGGAATGAATGTCCTTAGGTTGCTCCCCCTATTTCCTTTTTTTTTTGTTTTTTTCCCAGTACCGGGAATTGAACTCATGACCTTGTACTTGCCAGGCAGGTGCTGTGTCACTGAGCTAAATCCCCAGCCTCCACCCCATTCTGATGGAGTGTCCACTACCAGTGTCACCCCCCATTTTAAGTAGAGGATACTGAGACCCAGGCCACTCAAGTACTTACCCAAAGTCATAGACATAAAATTTCTGTGTAGAGGAGCTATGTCTCAAATCCAAGATATCAGGGACTGTATGCATAACCGCAACTGCCAAGTTCCCCAAACACTGCCCATGAGGAGCCTGGAGGCTTGGCCCTTGCCCTGTCCCACCCTCATTCCTTCCTGGACACCCTTGGTCCCTCCGTCCAAGCCTATGTGACTGTTCATGTGTGGTCTTGGCAGGCACTATTCTGGAAGACATTCTTTTTTCTCAGCTCGGCTGCCTAAGAGATACTTCTCACAAATCAAGGGATGGGCTGTTTTATTTATTATATGCAAGTCTGCCTTTGAAAACTGGCATTTGTCCTGAGCTGTTGTGAAAACAAAGGTCTGCCTGCCTGTCAGCTAAGGGGGAGGAGGAGATACTGATGGAAGAGAACAAGGCAGGAAGAGTGGGATTGGCCCCTCCCTGTGGTGCTGGTCAACCACAGAGGCTGGATGGATAGATCTGAGTGACATCGTAGGAAGTAGGCCACAATGGTACTTCATCCTGAAGGATGCCTTGGGCTCCTTGCTGACTCTTTGAACCATGGTTATGCCTGAACACTGGGTCAGATTGTGGTTCTGTGGGAACTTAAGAAGTATCCTGAGTTCTGTCAAGAAAATTCTGAGGCCAAGAATCCCACCTGCCCTTCTCTGCTGTCAGAAGAAGTCAGAACAGGGTCCTGATGGAGCTGCTTTGAAACCTTGGGAACATTTGGGAAGTTACCATATCATTTACTGTTTGCTTGGCCTGTCATCATCCTTGTGGATGATTCACAGAGCTACTTCAGTGGCTCACACATAAGGGAGACTCTAAATCATGTGTTTCTCTCACGCATTAAACTTTGTTGAGTGAGAGCATACACCAAAATGATAAGTGGAATAGGACTTGGTACACAATTTTGAGTTAGCTCTGGTTTTAGATCCCAGTTCTATTTGATCTTGGTCTTGTTCAGTCTACTTAATTTCTCTGTGCCCCAGGCTCTTTGGCTGTAAAATGGGAAGAAGAATACGTTCAAGGCAGACTTCAGAGCCTGAAACCATATTTTAAAACACTTAGCGGTTTTTCAATAAGTCAGAATCTTTACTGTTTTATCCTAGAGCTACTGTGAGCTGCTGATGTCTTTATCTCATCGCTGGCCCTCCAGAATGCATGTTCTTCATGGCTCTCCTTCCAGAAGGGTGCCATTCTTCTGGCTCTGATTCTCCCCTCCTTGCTCCATACAGTCTCACCAAGGGCTAGTAATCCTCCCAGAGCAGTGACGTCATAAGCCTGAGCTCTTTACTGTGTGCTACACTTGGCATAGGTGGCAATAAATGACAGGGATGGGAGCCTTCATGCTCTGTACTGGATGACAGGACATGTGATGACTCTACAAGTCTGTGCTTCCTGCACCTTCTGCAGAACATTGCCCGGTGAAAGGTCTTCCTTTCACTAAGTTGGTAGTCCTTGCCCCTGATGAAGGCTGCACAGCATTGTGGCCACCCATGTGGGCTCTGGGATCAGACAACTGGGTAATCTTGTTTCTTCCACTTGTTGCTCCCTGAAAGTAGATGAGTTATTTAACATTGTATGCATAAAGATGTACAAGGTAGGCTTACAGTAGCTGCCTGTAGAGTCAGGTGTGGAAGAATGCAATAGGGCTGTCTGTGCATTAGCCAAATGATCCAGTCAAAGGTGGGAGACCTGGAGCTCACTACAGAGTCCTGTTGGCAGCTGAAACATCTATGTTGGAAGGCTAAAGAGTCTCAGTGGGAAGCCTGAGACTAACATCCCGAGGTGGTACCCAAGTGGGAGCTCTTTCAGAGACCAGGAAATGCTTTCCTGTTTTATTCCATCCAGGATATAAGCCTGTTGGCTCTTGCCACCTACATCCGGGATGGGTCTTCCCTCCTCAGTTTTGGGTCTCAGGTCAACCATTCCTACCCAGAGCTCAAGTTGACATTTCACAATTAACAAGCACATGGGCCATTCATCCACTTGTCCAAACTAGAAATCTAGGAGTTTTTACTCTAGTTCACATATAATAAATTACAGGAAAGTCTTTCATAGCTTTTCTTCTCCTCCTTCCTACCATTTATCTTAATCCAAGAAATTCATACTTTTTTCCTTCCTAAAGCCATGTCACCCTTGGCCTATCATGGGTATATTCTCTTATCTTCTATTCATTGTCCAGTATTTACCCTCAAAAAAGAGCAATCTGACAATGTCTTGTACTTGAAAATCTCTTCCAGCTCTTCTTTATAATGATTAAGTCAGGATTCCTTGTTTGACCTACAAGGTCTCTAAGAAGTGAACCTATCTACCCTTTTCCCAGCATTCCACCAATGAAGCACTTCAAACTTCTCACCGAATAGAAGGGGCCTACCATGACTGTTCCCTCTGGACACACTCTTCCTAGAAAATCCTCTCCTCCACAGGGTCAGTCTTCAGGGTCAGCACAAATGTCAGATCCCTCTAGGACCTTCTACTACTACTGGATGCTATATATCTTTTAATTACTGAACAAATTGAAACAGAACGCTCTTGCTCTCTTGTATCAGGAGGAGTTCCTTTAAATGAAGATTACCAGTATGCTGGGAAATGCTGAAACTGTTGGAAATTGAACCAAAGAGATCAGATCTCAGAATTTTATTTATTTATTTATTTTTGGGTTTTTTCCAGTATCAGGAATCGAACTCACGACATTGCGC